CAACAGACCCTTTGGTTACTTAGAAGTTGACATATCCTAATCAAGGAAAGTTTAGTCAAAGACAACAGGTCTTCAGTGTGAGAACTAAATCTTTCAACCCTTTTAATACTTGGGAAGGGACAAGATCTTTCCTATCTATGGAATTCTAAATTGTTCCAGTTGCTATGGTTTGGATATTAAATGCTCCCCAGAAGCTCATGTGTTGAAGGCTTAGTCACCAACTGACTGCACTATTTGGAGGCGGTGGAAACTTTAGGAGGTGAGGCCTACTTAGAAGGGCCTGGAAGTAGGTCATGACCTCTGTTTCTCTTTATTTAATGGCTGCTGGAAGTCACGAGTAGCTTTATCCTACCACATACTTCCTGCCATGATGTTGTGCCTTAGCATAGGTCTAAAAGCACAGAACCAACCAACCATAGGCTGAAACCTCTCAAATTGTGAACCAAAGTAAATCTCTCCTCCTTAAAATTTGATGGTGGATAGTTAATTTATGTGTCAACTTGAGTAAGAAATGGCCAGCTAAATTGGGTCAGCAGAGTGAAGACAGAAGACCCACCTTGGGTGTGAGTGGTACCAACCAATAGGCTTGTTGCCTAAATGGAATAAAAGGGAAACGAAGAAGAAAGGTTTGCTTCTCTTTCTTTGGAGGAGCTCCAGTCTTCACCTTCACTTTGGACATTGTCTTCCAGCTTCCAGTATAGACCCTTCAGTCTTGTATCACAGATGTGTTGGCCACCTGGTATGGACTTGTACAGGACACTATAGTGAACCCCAGGACTTTGACTGGATCCTTCGGATCTCTAGCACACAGACAGAGCTTTTGCACTCTTCCACACCTGCCTCCGTGGGCAGTCATTGTAAGCCAAACTTGTACATTCTTATACATTTTTATATCCTGCATTACATCTGTTTCTCTAGTAAACACTGACACACTGATTCTCTCAGGTTTTAGACAGTAACAGAAAGCTGACACACAAACTCACTGTATTTCATCTTGAATTTTCTTTCTCTATTCTCCGGAGACCAGTTGAGACTTATGTGGAAAAGTAGTCAATGCTTTCACCTTGCCTGTGAGTTGTGATGAGGCCACCAGAAGCATGTAAACCATACTCTGCACGCGCACGTGAATGTGTGTGTGAGCATGTAACACATATCTGCACATCTCTACCTCTGGGCCAAAGGCCAGGCCTTGGACAAGTGTCTATGGGTTTAAGAATGTCATATTCTTCATACATTCACCCTTTAAGAAAGACAGGTAATGTTCTCCCAAGTTCTTCACACCACTACTCTGGAAAAAAGGCCTTTGGCTTGAAGAGGCCTACTGCACACCTGCATGACCTTGGCACTGATGGGGCCTAGTGAATGGAGAAAGAATGTACTCTGTAAAACTCTGTGGCCTGGAACTCTGTGATGATATCTTAATTTTTACTCCCCACTGATGCTACAAGAAAACCCAATGGAAACTGAAGTCTACCCCCTGGTTCTTAGAAAAAGAAAGGAAGAATCACTGAGGGCCAAAGGGCATACTGGGGCTTCAAGAAGCCTCCCAGGGTTCTTTCCCTCCTGATCTCCACATTCTTATGCAGGGCCAACCTATACAATAATAAGTCATGGCACAAATGATGGATAGGACTTCCCAGGATAAGTCACAGAAGATACTGCAAATTCTGCCTTCCTTTCACATGGATCATTAACTCTTGAGGAAGCCAGCTACCATGCCCTGAAGACCCTCAAACAACCTAGAGGCCCAACTGGTGTTCTGAGAGACCTCCTGTCAACTCGCCACCAGTATAAGTTGGGTAATTCCTCTAGCTTGTTACATATTGTTTTTTCCCCAAGGGAGACTGAGAACAGTGAACATAATTTAATAATTTGTTCTCTGTCTCTGTTTCTCTCTCAAAAATAAACACCTATTTTTTATTATTTTTATTTTTTAGTACCAGAGATTGAACTTGGGTTCTTGCGCTTGCAAGGCCGGCGGTGGAAACACTGAATTAAATCCCCAGCCCAATAAAAACCTATTTTAATAACCCAGAGAAAATAAATCTTTCCTTCTTTTTTCCCTCCC